TTTTTTTTTTGGACTTAACACATAACGTAATACTCTGGCAGCTTCTGCGCTATCTTCCTTCCAGCTTAGGGCGGTCGCGAGCAGCGCCCAAGAGCCGTCACTTCCTAATCCAGTGTGAGACGCGACACCGTGCCCATTGGACGATTTACATCCAGAAGGGAAAACCCGCTGTATTTTGAAACTGCAGATACAACAACAGAGAACAGCAAAGGCCAAAAGATCGGAAAAAGAACTTTCTGGAGAGCGTCTTCGGTGAAGAGGCAGCGCTTTTTATAGAGCATGCGTGAGAAGACGATGAGGGGCCTTTCCACTGGCGCAGGCAACCGACGCGGAAAAGCACTTAGAGATATCGTTGGCATGGGACCATTGGCAGTCGGTTTGACAAAGACTCTTCTTCACATGGTCGGGACCGGTCTCCAAGCCAGTCCGGATCCACTACGTCGCGTGAGTTGAGGTCCAAAAAGTAGCAGCTAATGGACAGACGGGGAAACCGCCGCTTTTCCACTCCCAGGGCAACCAGGCGACCTAGGTGATCAGCAGATCGGACTGCACGATGAAAAATCGCGAAGAACGACCGCACCCGCCGAAAAGTCTTAGGGCGGGCTTCACGGAAAAGAATGTCGAAGACTGATCACGCCCACCAATGAGCGGAAAAGCGGGCATCAAAGTGATAGACGTTCAGAGCCCACACATACTTACAGGTCAAGTAGCGGGCATCACAGAACTTATGGAAGAAGAGGTACCACCGCAGAGATGAAAGACGCAGAGGCTACGGAGAGACGAAGAGCAGCGGGCGCATGCACCCCTCTGGCATTGGGAACCGTGGGTAGGCACGTCGAGCAAGCGGCTACGCGGCTGGGTGATGGGCAGATGCCTAGCTACTCTGATGCTCTCGCATCAGACAGGCTGTGTTGCACAAAAATTACCCCCGCGTAAGAGCACAAATGAGCTGACTACCTAGTCAGACAGTAGGGCGCAAGTAATCTTCATTCCGAAGGTTGGTATATGAGATTGTTCGCTAGCAAAGTCTGTTAGACCTATAATTTTAACCTCCTTTATGTTGGAACCAATGGAGAAGTTAATATACAACAATATTAGATTGAAAATTCTCAACGTAACACCTTTACACCCTCAGCATGCATACCGAACTGGAAGATCTACGGATACATCCCTGTATCAGCTAACAAACGAAATACAAGATGCCTTTGAATGTGGCGAAATAGTGTTCTGTGTTTTCTTCGATATAGAGGGACCTTTGATAAAACATCATATTTTGGTGTTCGAGTGGCACTCGCGAAGAAAAATGTGCAGCCTGCCAACTGAAATTGGTTGAACACGCAGATTCATACTAGAATTGCTGAATTCGAAGTCGGGGACAGTGTGGTATAACCTAGAACTAAAAAAGATTGTCCTCAGCGAGGGTCCTTTTTCCTCTTCTGTGGAGCTTAGTAGTGGATGAACTCTTTTAGCTTCTTTCTTACAATGGCATACGTTTCCAGAGCCGTGAAGACGACATACTCTCTATTTTCAGGGGAAACTTTGAAAGCACCCTCTGTGACATAATTCAAATCGGTTTAAGATCACCGAAAGAATGGTGCGCCAGATTAGGGCTTAGCATAAATGCAGCTAAACCGCCTGTATTCCCTTTACTAGGAGAAGAGCCCTACCGGGCACAACCTTGGGGAATGTGGAGCGCGCTTCCACCGTAGCATCCATATACTGGTATATCGTAACAGGACC